AAACTTGGCTTAGAAATGTCAGGAAAAGGCTTTACACAGGAGATGATGCTTAGATTGACACTTGAAGAATTAGTAGGAGTTAGCCTGGCTAACCGGTGAAAAATGGATGTTTATGGACTAAATGAATAGCCACGTGCTGGGGAGCATGGGATAATATGGCTAGTTCAGGAAATAGAAAAAGTTAAATAGGCTTGAGTAAAACATGATAAGCACCAGGATTTTTATTTTTTAAATTTCAAGTCAAGTGCTCTTCACAACATACAGTACAATCCCCAGTAGGCATTCCAAGATACTCTATTTAGCTTTTTTATATTCTATAGCAAAAAATGTTCCCAGTCTCTGTCACTCATCTTAAAAAAATGTATACCACTGAGATCAGGAAAGAGAATGGGAAGAAACAAATACATATCAATCTCCTTTTCTGGAATAAAAATTTTAAATGTGAGATTTATAAATAATATCAGCCCATAATCCCAGTACTTTGAGAGGTTGAGGCAGGAGGATCACTTGAGGCCAGGAGTTCAAGACCAGCCTGTGCAACATAGCAAGATCCTATCTCTACAAAAAATAAGAAAAATTAGCTGCACATGGTGATATGTGCTTTTAGTCCTAGCTACTTTGGAGGCTGAGGTGGGAGGATCACTTGAGCCCAGGAGTTCAAGGTTGCAGTGAGCTATGATCATACACTCCAGCCTGGGCAACAGAATGAGACTCTTGTTTCTTAAAAAAAAAAAAAATAAGTAGACAAAAGATAAACAGGAAAAAAGTTATAACTCATATCATGAAGAGTTGGGAAAAAGTTGTAACTCATATCATAAAGAGTTGGTTTAATATAAAAGAGTTCCCAGGAAACAAACAAACAAAAACCCTGTAAAAAAGAATGGGCATTCTACTAAGTGAAGTATCACAAGAATGGAAAAACAAGCACCACATATACTCACCATCAAATTGGTATTAACTGATCAACATTTATGTGCACATATAGTAGTAACATTCATCGGGTATCGGGCAGGTGGGAGGGGGTAAGAGGAGATGGGTACATTTACACCTAATGGGTGCGGTGTGCACCGTGTGGGGATGGACACTCTTGAAGCTCTGACTTGGGCAGGGCCAAAAGCAATATATGTAACCTAAACATTTGTACCCCCCGTAATATGCTGAAATAAAAAATAAATAATAAAAAAAAAG